TAACTTCAAGTATTGCTGTGTTTAGCTTTTAATTATTTCAGATGATTGCTCAGATGAATGTGGTTTAGATATACTTCATATGGGCACAGTACAAGGCAAATTTTTAGTTGTCACAGATATTATTTCTAAGTTATACCACGATGACATTATATACAAAGACTTATTTGAGGAAAAATTGAATAAATTTATGTCAGAAGCCTTTTATCATACACGTGTGAATGATGGATTTTTAATAAGATTTGGACTAACTTAGGTATATCTAGACTAAATAATAGAAGGAAATGAATTTTACAAATGTTAAAATTAAAGAATACCGATTTCCTGTAAAGATCTAGATTTTGTGTAAGGAAATAATATAATTCAGAAGTTCAAAAACACTCTGAGCAACTTCTCAAAGCCATTTGAATCTATAAGTTGCACCGTGAAAGGATATGATTCTTAAGATTATTACAGTATTTACAATGATGTTTGTGGAATGAATCTATTTGATTCTCCATAGGAAATAGTATAAAATGCTCAGAAAATCATCCTCTAGTTGTAGACATAAAGAGTTGAGTTGAATGAATTTGAACTTCTGAAATATTAATTTGAGCGAAATTATCTTATAAAATAGTTATAACAGATTATGGAAAATGCTAAGAGAAATTTAGCAAGTGATATATTACTCTCTGAGAACTGGATCGAACTTCATATATTGTAGAACGAATTAAAAATAAGAAGGTAGCAATTAAAAGAAAGGATATATATAGATGATATAAGAATGGATATCATCGATCCTGCAGTTTAAAAGTACCAAAATCTTTTATTGTCCTTAGGAAGTGGAGGCCTGCAGACACTATAAGTTATATATAGAAAAAGTACAAAATAGAAATATTAGAAATTCATTGATTCAATTACTAAGCAAATGAAAACAGGTAATTAATAGCTGCATATAGAAGAAGTATATACAACAAACAATGTACAAGAGACTATTATATCAGTGAATCTCGTAAGTCTATATAGAAATTTCATGATTGAACTTAAAAAAGCAAATGTTAACAATTCTGGAAATGAGGAACAAAAAGAAGAGAAGAAAAATATTAATGCTAAAAAGATTCCTTAAAAATAAAAAGTAAAAGAGTAGAATGAACTAAAAAATCAAGTCAATATAAAAGATTAAAAGATAAGATTCTAGGCAGAGGAGGAAAAACAAATACCTCGATAGAATGTAGAGAATGTTGCTAATTAGTTGCCAAGCCCTTAAAAAAACTCTAATAGAATTAATGAACTTAAAAATGAACTTAATCAATAAGATAATGCTTAACTTAACGGAAATCACTTTTTTTAAGATCAGAAGAGTTATCTAGACCAATTTTTCATAGAAAATTACAACTTTGACTCACTATATTAATGGGAAAATAAAATTGAACCTTGCCTAAAGTGCTCAAATAATTTGTAAAAGGTAGAAGAACTTTAAGAAGAAATTTAAGTAATGAGGTACAAAGAATTAGAAAATGCTGAGATTATCAATAAAAAAGATCAACTTAATTTAGAACTATAGAAATAATTGGAGGATTTGTAAATAAGATTGAGAGAATTGGAAGAAAGAGAATTAGAGGATCAAATCCTACCAAGCATACGCTAAGGATTAGATAAATAACCTAGGTAAAGATAGGATTAAATATATTAGCAATAATCTGCAATGAAAGTAGCTAAGATTGCCTAATAACAGAAAGTCTATCAAAAAGATAGCTAATCTGAGAACGACCTAGAAAGTTAAAATAGTGATTGGGATTTTAAAATGCCCAAAGTAGATCCTAAGCTAGATCTTGTTAGTGGAAAGTACGGAAAATAGGATATTTATAAGAAGACTCCCTAAGATTAGTTTCTGACTGATGATTATGATGTTACAAGAAATTTGTAACCCAGATTAGCCAACATTGTTTCATCTTACAAAAAATAGCTTTCAAGATATATTTGCAGAAACAAAAAGCAAGTCTAGATGGTTAAGGATTGTTTAAAAGAATTTAAAATGCAAAATCAAGAAAGTGGAAAGCTCATTAAAAAAGATACTAGGCAAGCTAATATAATTGATGGTCAATATAGAGGTTAATTTACTATATTTACCTTCACAAATAAGTGAAACCTGATTATCAAGAAATTGTATAATCTTGTAATTTAAATTACAGGATTTCTTATATACTTGGAATATTAATTTATCAGATTACATTATTACGATTAGTATTTTCTTGCGGGGTTTTGGGGTTTTGGGGTTTTGGGG